AAATATGTTCAAGTCTTAATTCTACTGGACTCATACCATAGTTCAATTCTAAACACAGCTATTGAGAGCTGCTGGAGCTTTGTGGAGGTAGAGGATGGGCCGGTTTTTCTTTATTATTGTTGTAGAACACCTAGAGTTATTCTAGGTTGGAATAAGCTGAGTCCATGGCTTCCATCGTAGATGTTAATGAATCTTTTACTCTTGCTACTATCATTTCAGACGCCAAAATTAACAACTATAGATGTTGCCCATAGTGAGTCTGGGGATACGAATCTATTTTCCAAATTACTATGACTTCCTCTTTGAAGAGATGTTGAGTATCAAATCAAACAGCAGAGGCAATAGACCAGGGAAATCTTGATATGAATATTTTAGCAGTTCATTAAAATTAGATCACAGGGCTATTCAGTTTGTGTCATGTGGCACTGGCAGATGGTGTTCCTCTTTTACTCAACAGGTAACAGGTGAGTAATGGGAATACTTCTGTAAGACTGGCATCACTAGCCATATGATAGGGAAGTTAAGAAGGAGATGACCTCAATAGTTTTCTACAATCACCTTTCATATGAACATTTCTAACAATTTCACTTTCCTAAATGATTCTTTGCTTCCAAATCTTGTATAGGGCTTTTAGTGTTCTGAAGGTGATAATACACAATTTTCCAGAAATTAAGAGACAGTGACAATTTAAGCTACCAGATGAATGACTAAAATTGGACTTAAATAGCTGTTTTAATTTACAAGATTATACCTGAAGTGAATATAGTCAGTGCTCCATATCTGTGAGTTCCACTCACATGGACTAAACCAAACACACACTGAAAATATTTTAAAAAATTGCATCTGTACCAAACATGTTAAGTTTTATTTTCTTCTCATGGCTACTACATTATCTACTATTTACAGAGTATTTCCATGGTATTAGGTGCCATAAGTAAGCAAGAGAGATGACTAGATGTAAAGTATAGGGGAATGTGTGTATAGCTCTATTTCATGGAAGGGACTTGAGCATGTGTAGATTTTGATATCCACAGGAATTCTGGAACCAATCACCCCCAGACACTTAGGAATGACTGCACTAAGATGATAAATTCTATTTGCATTTATTGGAAAAAAAGATTTTTAAAGATTTCCCTAACTTTAGGACATGAAGTAACCCTGAGGCTAGCTGAATACAGACTTAGATCTTGTGTAGTGCCATCTCCAATTTTGATAGCTTCTTGGGCTTCTGCATGTATAGACATATCTATCTCCTGAACTATCTCCTCATACTTGGACCCTAGTGTTTTCCATCTTCTTCTGTCCAGTTTTGCACATAGTAGCTTCCTAATAAATACTATTGCTTTATTGATTTTACTTCATAATATTAGATACTAATATTATAAATGGTTTTAATCTCTATAATATGAGAGTTTCCATAAAAATAACACATACTAAAAGTTCATGATTTAAAAACAAATGTTTGGGCTGTGGATATAGGTCAATGATGGAGCACATGCCTAGCAAGTGGGAGGACTTGGGTTCAAAACATACACACACACACACACACACACACACACACACCAATATTCTAAAGATAGAATTTATTGTTCTTATGATTAGCCTAAAAACTACACAGTTGTTTGTTTATAAATGTACTGAGTGGTGGATACATGATAAAAATAAAAATTCACAACTGACTTAAAAATCAGTTAAGAAATGTTTGCACAATAATTGACAAAAAATTTTTTCAAACAGATGTAGAGTCTATCTACACCCCAATACCTACCAAACTAGTCAGATGTATTTCTGGATTTCTTGGTTTGATTTTACATTTGACAATTTCAACTGAGCTTCCTCATAAATTCAGAATAAGAGACTACCTCAAAGGATCTACAGTTATTTTCTATGATCCTAAACTGTAGCTGAAGACAAAGTTTGTTAGAAAGCCCTATTTGTTTTCTGTAATCCAATTCTATTTATTACTTGCTGCATAGTTTTATACCACACATTATTTTCCCCTTTTGAGTTTGTACTCCCTTCCATTGACTATTTATGAACTTGCTTTGTCATATCTTAAAATGGTCCCTTTGCAACTGTGTAACTTTAGTGAAAAAGTAAAATATCAGCTAGTATGCACAAAGTGCACAAGGAACATCACAACAAGTGCAATTATCACAAATGAATGGTGCTGTAAAGCATAGGTTTTTAGATGTGCAATTTAATATATATACAAAAAATTAGGGCTTTGAATGTACCTCAGTAATAGAATGTTTGCCTATCATGTATAAGGCTCTAAGTTTGATCCCAGTACCACGAAATACTCTGTGTGTGTGTATCAGATTATATATATATATATATATATATATATATATATATATATATATATATATCCATTCTTCATAAATATGAATATAAATATATGTTTTACATATAAATGTCAATTTGAACCCTATTAAAGTAGCTATTTGTGGGTCACAATGTAATGAAGATCATCAATTTCATGATATCTAACCTAAAAGATATATCCCCACTATATGCACAGATAAACTCAAAATTTCAATGTGGGTTGTAAAGAAAAGAAGGCCAACAAATTTATAAAGTATATGCTATCCAGCTAGTAGTTCAATCAATAAAAATTAAGCTCAATACATTTTTGTTTTTCAGATTTCCTGTGACAAATATACACAAAGCATTTTCTGAGCAGATTATATTGCTCCTCCCTTGTATCTAAACTTTGCAAGTTCTAGCTAAATGACTTTCAAACAATTTTTTTTTTTTTTGCTATTACAGTACAACCCTTTTTCAAATGGAAATTGTGCTGCACTCTAACCTCTGAAATGGTTAGAAAAGTGGACATAATTTGATAGAAGCTGGGAGTGTGGTCTCCTGGGTGACTCTGGATGCTTTTCCGGTTTGAGCAGAAGTGGAATAGTTGATGGGTAGATAATCAAGTAGATTCAGTAGGACATCTCACTAGGATTTTTTGAATTAGACTACTGTGGTCTGTTAAAATATTCTGATATTTTACTATCAAATCCAAAATATTAATGAAGGTTTAACTGATAATTTTTAACATTAATATTATAAAGGTTCAAGCCAAGTCAAAGACTTGGATAATGGTTACTATGACTAGAAATAAAATGATAGATATCACTGCTTGCAAGGTGATAAATTCTGAAGAGGTAGATAAGAGAATATATTTAATTAGCTCATTTTCTATTTATTTAAAGCTTTTTAAAATAATATTATAAGCACCCTAAGGGATAAGATCTCAATTTCTCTTATAATTCTTTCTATTGGTTCAATTGAAATAGTTCTTCACAAATTAAAGAGACTTTCCAGATAATCTTTATATTGACCAGAAACAGGGAACACATGAAGTTAATGCAGAGAGATAAAGCTCTGACTTGCAAAGAAAATCTGAGAATCACTGGAATAGAATTGTAATCCTCTTTAACAAAACCCAGAGAAACAGAAATGAAGAAACTTGTTATAAACAATTAGCCCTGAGTCTATTAATGTTTGGTCTCACTCATGATTCTGTAGTAACATTAAAATTCTGCTACATTTCTTCACAAATTCACCAGTAGTGACTAATAAAGAACTTGCAAAATTAATCTAAGCAAAATAAAATCAAATATCATGCATAAAATTATAATAAAAATGTGATTATTAGCTATGCAATGATCATTGAAATAAAATTCGTCCTTGATCTAAATTAAATACCCCATTTTTTTTTTACATAAGTATCCCTACTTTATTCAATAGAAAAATAAAATAAATGAGCTTAGCCTGAGCTTGGATTTGTCTCAGAAGGCACCAAAGGGGAATATAAATCCCATGCAGTTATAATGATAAAAACAAGCAGCATCAATTTGACATTTGGTGCTAGATGGTCATGCTCAGATGCTTTGAAGTGTCTATAACAGCATTTTATTTGATGCATGGTAAAAACTGAACTTTTCTTCAATATTGCATTTGTTGATGAACTACAATATCAATGATGTTTTATCAATCTCCAAATTGTTATAAAAATATGACCTGTGGGCAGCTTTAATATCCCCTAGACACATTCACATAGTTATCTCATTTTTTTCTTCAAATAATTTTGTCAAGCAGAAATGATTCAGTTTTTATAGATGAGAAAAAAGGCCTACTGAGTATAATTAATATCATCAAGTTATTGCAACTAGTTATTAGTGAAACTGGAGTTCAAATATTGGTCCATTTGACTAAAATGTATGAATTTATTAAACCATACTAATTTTCAAACAAATATGAAAAATGACGAAAAAAAATCTCAAAAAAGAATACTACTGAACAATTATATGTTTCAGATCAAACATTTTAAAATTCTGTTTGGTAGACATAATGTTATTTTTATAGGAGGACTAAGTTCTGGTGTTCTATTGCACAGTCTGGTGACCACAATTAACAATAAAGTGCCATGAGCTGGAGTTGTGGCTCAGCGGTAGAGCACTCACCTCACACCTGTGAGACCCTGGGTTCGATCCTCATCACCACATAAAAATAAATAAATAAAGAAAGATATTGTGTCCATGTATAACTAAAAAATATTTTTAAAAAACAATAAAGTGCCATATATTTCAAAAGGAATTATGAATGTTCTCTGCACAAAGAAGTAATAAATCTTTAAAGATATAGATATTCTAATTTTCCTGATTTGATCAGTATAATTTATACATGTATTGAAACATTACATTATATCCCATAAATATGTATAATTATTACATGTAAATCAATATCAAAGAATAGAGTGTAAAGAAGAAAATGGCAAACTTTGATAAAATAAAATAAAGTTATTAAATAATAGAAATAGAATATGATATCTGTAAATAAATATTCATGTTTGAGTCTTTAATAAAGATACATATTAACATTTGTGATCCTTTGTGTTCTTCAGCAAAAAAAAAAAAAAAACAACTATGTAAACTATTATTCAAATATTTTTAAAATTCAGTATAAAAATGATGTATTGGTAGTTTTGTTTGCATTACCTTAGATGATTTTGCTTTGGATTCAGGTTTATCTTTGATAACAAAGTCATTAATGAGACGTGATCGATCATAGTTAGCATGTTCTGATTCATCCATGTAATCCTTCTCTTTTCCTAGGGCTGAAAAACAGAAAGAGAAAGTTACATGTTTATACTTCCTCTCCTTTTTCTCAATAAATATACTAATCTTCAAGTTTTCCCAAGGTTTAGGTAGGCATAATGTTCACATTATCCATCCTGATATTTACAAAAGAATAATCATATGGAAGTCTGCCTGTAATTTTATTAATGCTTCCATAGTGACTCTGTAAGAATTCAATGAAGCTGTGCTATTTGAAAGCTATTTAAGTTTTTTGAAAATAAATTTATAACATTCAAACTATACTAGACAGATGATCTGAACTGAACTTAAAGATAAGAGATATTGGTAAGAACAGAATTGACTCATAAGCATTTATTTGCTTAAGTAAAACTGCATTAATTTTGAGAATTTGTTTTCTTAAAAGTTGGGAAGTTTTATGAATGTGAATTTTGCTGAAGGATAAAGAAATCCATAGAATAAAACCATGAACATTATTCCAACAAATACTTTTTTAAAAAAGAGAGAGAGATTAGAAAGTGGAAACTATAGCTGCCAAAAATGGAGAGGAGACATGAAAAATTATAGTTACTATTGGAATAATAAAAATGTATAAGAGATTATCATATCAATTACAAATAAAGATGTATATGAGTGATCAATAAGCTATATTCAATGTTAAAGAGTATACAACAAGATATCAGAATAGGAAATCTCCATAGGATCCATAATTATGACCAAGAATTTCTATACTTCACAAAATTCCTATTTTGTATGATACAAATATTACTTTAAATTTAAAAAAAACATTTAGATAACTATATATTCAGCCATTTCAAATATATCAAAATGGCTTGAATAAAATTATTTCATTGAATCTCTTGATACCTATCAAGTATGAATTTTGACCTGATGAACAAGTATATAAGGTTTTCTTAGTTCAATCAGTTGAGGATAGAGCTGTGGCTCAATGGAAGAGCATTTGTCTGGCATGTAAGAGGCCCTAGGAGTTCAAGAGTTCAATCAATTGAATTATTACAGGGAAGAAAACTTAATTTCTTTTTTAAATAATGTGAAGCTAATAGTTTGATATTAGCAGTGGTATAACTAAGATTGTGTAGGTTGTAACTTGTTTTTGGATGAAATTAATGATCAGCTATGTTAAAATCTTGTAAGTATTTAGTGATTACATCTAGGCCAATTAATAATACCTAACATTGATAATATTTGCTAAGTACATATTAAGAAGCATAAACTTTGCATGCATTATTTCCTATTAACAGTTTTATGAAGTATGCATAATTCAACCTACATTTAATAAGTAAACTAAGGCACATAGAACGTAAATGATATACAAATTCATTAAGCTAGTAAGAGTGTATCTAAAACTGAATCACATCTGGCTAAGACTTCTAAGTTGATGTTTGTCAATATAGCATAATGTTTCTCTTAAATTTAGGTAAACAATAATTCATTTTTTCAACAATTATTTTTTAAATACCAATGGTATGAAAAAACTCTTAAAAAGTAGCAAACACAACCCTGCCTTAATAGAACATTCAAGTAAGAGAAGAACAATTTTTTTAAAAAATTAAGTAAAATATTAAATATGATTTGTGATCAGAGCACTGGAGAAAAATCACAGTAAGTAGAAAGGATGCAAGTGTTAAAGGCAGTGGGAGGATGCTATTTTATTAAAGAGACTAGTAATAACATGTGAGCTTAGATCTGAAGAGGTGAAGCAGTGAGTCACATGGGTGAGCTACAAGAATGGTCAACACACAGAAAATAAAGAAGACAACACTTGCCATAAAGAACGGAAGGGGAAAAGAGGAGCATCATGTTTTCCAAAGTTGAGTAATGTAAATTCTGCTGTCATTATTCAGTGGGTAACCAATCTATTCACCCTTTTACTTTCATGAATTTTGAAGAACGAAGGAACAAAATCAACCACACTATGCATGAATGAATATGCCACAATGAATCCCATCTTTGTGCATAATTACAAGGTACTAATGAACGAAGTATACATGTTAGTAAATAGAAGGCAAACAGAAGAGCAGAGAAAGGGAAATGGAAAGAGAGAAGGGGAAGGAAATGGGGAACCACTGGGGAATAAATTGGAGCAAACCATGCTGTGTGCATTCATGAATGTCCCGCTAATATGCATATGCATAATGTGCAAATCAAAACACACACATATATTCACAAAGAATTTAAATGCACTCAGCAGATACAGAATTCCCCCTCCATCCTAAGGCAGGGTATCCTAAGTCTGCTTTTCCACAAGTTTGATCGCATAATCACGTATCAGCCTTCTTACAAGAAATCTTAGAGGAAGGAATGGGGCTTCTGGACCAGAGCTATGCTTTATACTGGCTATGTTTCCACTTATGGTTTTCTTGAAAGCTGCAACAAATTCACAATTTCTAGTTTATTTCAATGCACAGCTGGAGAAAGGCAAATTCAAAATGGAGATGTACTGGGTTTGGCAAAATTGTAGAGCAGGAGAGCTGTGTCTTCAGAGGCTGTATGCCTTCTCTTAGGTCAGCCCTTATCTCCCTCTTTGGAGACAGCATTGTAAGGTTGTAAGATCAGGGTCAGGCATTGAAGTCATGCATATTTGGTTTGAATATTAATCAATTTGCTAGGTTTATGACCTTAACTTTTTTGGTCCATAGTTTCATTTTCAGTTAAACAGTGTTGCTAACATCCTGCCATTAGAGCAATTATAAAAATTAAATATAAAAATGTGAAAGTACCTAGTGTATACACATAATAATGATCAATAAGTATTAGCTTCCTCTGTTTAATAGTCTTTCCAATAAACTGAAAATTTATATTTTTCAATGTAATTAACATCCCGTATCAGCTGATTTTGAGTTAGTGAAAGGGATATTGTTCTGGGTAGGTCTGACTCAATCAGATGAGCCATTAGAACAGGCTTTAGAATTCATAGACGGAAATCAGAAATGCTCTCTATTGCTGCTGTAGAGAAGTAAGCTACCATTTTTAGTCCTATAGCTGTTGCTGGCAATAGCCATTTGAGCCTGGAAGAGGACCTCAGAGCAGATCTCAACCATGACTGACATCTTAATTGCAGCCCTTGCAGAGTTAAGCTGTGCTCAGACTCCTGACCTACATATATAGTAAATAACAAATTTGTTGTTTTAAACTGTTATATGTATGCAAACAAGTTACACAGCAATAGATTATTAATATAATAGGGTGATGGTTGATATTGGTGCATGTCCACACTAAAAAGTAGAATCACACAATTATTCCAAAACTCACAGTGAAAATAAACAATTAGGAATATACATCGATCGGGGTGTGTTTTTATGATGATCTTTTCAACATTAAACATGAAGTTTATGATTCCAAATGCCTAGTTATGAACTCTAGTTATGAAGTCTATTTTTTAAAATTGACATGTGACTTTTGTGAAAAACTTCCATTTAGAATTGGTCTCTTCAAATCAGACAATATTTAAGAATTGATCCAACAGAACATTGCCTCGTAGATACAAAGAGTAAAGTAGTGATGGCCTAAAGTTTGGTTTCTAGGGGCTTTAGCAGGTTACAAATAAGGAGTGTAGGTCTGTTTCATTTTGAAGTAATGGAAATGTACTATAATTGATTTGGATGATGACTACACAACTATGATATTACAAAAAGGTATTGAACTGTACATTTTAAATGGATGAATTGGTTGGCATGTAAAATATGTCTCAGTAAAGTTATCTTAAAACAAAAAAAAAAAAAAGAGAGAGAGAAAAGAAAAAGTACAATATCTAGATTTTTCTTGAACTGAAACATAAGGAAAAATGAAACTGCAATTGGGGGTTAATCTACTAGAGAAGATACCAAAATTCTACCATCCTCAACTTTCCAGTTGGTAAGGCACAGATGCTTAGTATTGCTGTTGTGTTTCCTTTCCCTTCCTCTCTCCCTGATCCTGTCCTTTCTTTCCTTTTATAGCAGAGAGCAAGCAAGAAACCAGGGAGTTTTTAAACAGCAATAGATAAACAGCATTTGCTACTGGGGAGGTGTGGTGGTCTGTGTGTTCTGGGGTGCCATTTCTCACCCTAAATTTGTCACTTCCCACCCATGTAATTTCCTTTTCTTCATCTGTGAACAGATTTTTTAAGAAGGCCTTCAAAGGTCTTTTAAACCTTAAACATTATTTAACTACTAATTTCATGTTTATAATGATAATATGATAACTTACATTAATAAATACCTTTCATTTCCCATGTACTACATGAAATGAAACTTATGGAGAATTTTCACTCATATAATCCGATTCCATTGAAAAAATTTAGGCAGTTTTTTGTTGTTGTTGTTTAGTTTGGCTTAAGTTTTCTCCTGTTTTTCTCTTTCATTTTTATAAATATTCCTGTACAGAAATATCCTTACATCATCTTGCTAAAGGAAGGGTCATTCAGTTTTGAAAGAATCAGCATTTACCATCTATCCATGAAGGTGGTATTTCCTCCTCAGATCTTCTTCTGCTATCCCACTGCCCACAGCCCCAACTAGATCTCCTCATGTTCCCTTCTGAATCCCATAATAATAATTTTCCTCTTCTTGTTTCTTTTAATTAATTATTTCATTCTTCCTTGGTTTCTTATCTTTTCTTTCTTCCTTCCTATTTTTTTGGTTCCTTTGAATATGTCTGAAATGTCTGAAATTAAGCAATTATTTCAGGGTCTAGGGTCTATCTCTATCACATAATTTTAATTGCCCATAGAGTCTGGCATGACTTGGTTCTTAGAAGGCACATTCAGTAGAAGACGAAAGAGAAAGAAGATGAGGAGGAGGAGGAAAGGAAAAATATCCTTATTATTTTAGAAAATTGAATTAAAATGACACAATTCAAAATTTCCTTGAAGTTGAGAGTAGAATGGTGGTTACCAGAGTCTGGGAAGAGTGGGACAGTGGTAGGGAAAGCTTTGTTAATAATTATTACTCAGTTAAACAAGAGCCAAAGATTCTGGTGTGCTCTTGTGACTGCAGATAAAAACAATGGGCTGGTAACC